ATAATTCTAAATATTAATTAAACTATCTTTATTAGGACTATAGTTCTTAAACAATATATTTTTTACTTATGGGCTCAGAGACAAGGCAAAGCAGAAGCCCTTTTAACTCTCTTTCTATAGGACAAGTATTTTAATATAATATATTAGAAAGAAAAATCACAGCAAGCTTCTTATATTTCCCAAAGAAGCAATCAATAATAGCAAATAATTATGCAATCAGAGACCTTTCAAAAAGGAAAATAGATATACAAGTTCTATCAACAATAATCATAGAAATTCTTTTCAATATTTAAATTGAAATAGAAGAAAAGGCAATAGAAAATCAAGTTAAAATAAAAAAATTTGTTGAAAAAATCAAAGAAAATAATATTACAGTATAGTTCATATATGTCACAAAAAATAAATCAAAATTATTTAGCCTAAATTCATTTCATATAAAAAAATGGTAAATATAAGATGGAAGTATCTACAATTAGATTTCTAGGAGAATAAGAACATGAATAAGTGATCTATATCTAAAACATATTGGAATTATCAAAAGACTTAAAGCCTTTCAAAAAAAAGTTTCTTAATTACAATACCTGAATAACTTTTTATTATAAAAAAGAAAAAAATACTATATAGTATCTAGAAAAGACTAACAAAAAAGAGGAATAAAATAATTACAGCTATATTCTTAGAGATAAAAAATTAGATAAATATCTCATACCTATATTTAAGAAAAATTTTCAGCAAAAAGAAAAGAAGAACAAGAGATTTTTAATAGTAATCCTTATTGACATTGATTAAAATTACTCACGATATGTGATTAAATCTATTCTTTAAAGATATAGAGAGATAACAAATATTCATATCTATAATTAATTGAGATTATAAAGAAGAATTAAAGCTTGAATAATATTATATTAATAATATATTAATATGAAAAAAGAATGGATAATTCACATCTGCAATAGTAATCTATAGGCAATAAAGTTAACAGTTGGAAGGGTTTATACCTGAACTACTAATAAAGTGATAAATTACTTTCAAAGTTGTACTTAGAATTTTTAAGAAATTTAAAACAAAGATGAATAAGTTGGATAGAGATTTAGCTTTAGTAAAACATTTACTAATAAAAATTATATAAATGTTTAATAAAGCATACATATATAGTCTGATTTAGGGTATAAAAAAAAAAAAAGAATAGATAATTCATATCAATTAAAAAACAATTAGATTATCTTTACTCAACATGACTCAAATAATAACAAAATTAATAATATTATCAAATAATGAAACTTCTAATAATTGAAATTATATAGAACACACAATATCATGACTAGTTTAGTTATATAAGTAATCAAATATATTAAAGTAAAGATATGTTATATATTTAAAACCCCTCATATACTCAAAAGAAGAGGGGATATAGTAATATATTTTATATCAATCAAGACCTAACAAAGTCATTAAAGCAATAGCTTTTTATTTATAAATACAAACTCATATAGAATATCAATAAATATTTTACAAAAGAAATAGAAGCCTCATAAGAGCAGTTTTATAAGATAAAAGTTTCTGAACTAGACAATAATTTAAGCAATAATGAATCTAGTCAACAAGCTGCAAGAATAGAAAAAATAAATATCAGAAGTAATAAAAAGTCCAAATAAAGATTCAGGATTCTAGAAGAAATAAGCTCTTATGATGATATTAATAGCTTTAGCAAGTCAGCTGAAAAGCTATTTAAACAAGGCTAGCTAACAGAGAGTTAAAGAAATATAAGACAAACTTATAACAATAAATCAAGATATTAGAGAAACAGTATATTTAAATATTAAAGAAAAATTAAAAACTCTTTCTGCTGATCTTTTGACTACACACAAAAAAGATGTTCATAAGATGTTTTTATACTTCCTTGCTAATAAAGTCTTAATACATTCCTTAAAACAACTTGAAATATGACTTCAAAAGTCACCTCTATCCTTTTTCTATTGTTTACAAACCTCTTCACTCAAAAACTTGACTTATAGTGACCAAGAAAAGTCAAATAACACCTTTGATACCAATGGTAAGAAAGTTTCTAAAGAAAAAAGAACTGACTGTAAAGTACATAAAGGTTTATTTAACCTTTGAAATAAGATATATATAGAGGTTTTTGATAACAGAAGGGTTTATTTTTTCCCTTTCAATTACTTGTGGGCCTCTTAGAGCTATTGCTTTCATGGTTTTCTGGAGAATTTTGTCTATTTCAGTTTGACCCTGAATTTTTGATAGCACAAATTCTCATTAAAGGTGATTGGCTGACATGAAACATATCAGTTTTTGGAATGTAAACAAGTTCCTATTGATTATACTCATGTGTCTCAATATATCATTGGTGATGTAAAAAAGAAAGTTCTAGAAAAAGTGTCCCCTCCAATCGTATATGTTCAACCTCTAGAAAACAATTATAATACTGAAAGGCAAGTGATGGGTATGAAAAAAAGATTTAACTCCTATCTCTTATTAAGTTTCTCAGGTAGTGAAAAGGCTTTCTTTGACAAAAACTGAGGTTTCCAAGCTTCTATCCTGATTAGACAAAGTTCTTAAAAAGATTTCTTTATTCTGGTCAGGCAAACTCTTCCGTGATATAGCACTGGCTTCACTAACAATAAGTGAATCTGTATATTGGCAGAAGGATAAGTTTCACAAATGTTCTTCTTGAAGTTATTTTCAGGAATGACTAAGTTCCTTAAACATCATGAAGCTTAGAGAATATCTCAATCAGACAAATCCCTTTCGAGAGGAAACTATAAAATGGAGCAAGAACCTTTTGGAGGGCTTTGATTTGTATTCTCCCTTCACTTTTTTCCAGTACCAACTTTAGCAATTCATTATTTTTTGGGATAATCAATAGTGACAAACTGTTGACAATGATCCTGATTGACTTAGAGCACTATTGCCAAGCTACTAGTTGAGTAAAATATTGTCTGCTAAATCTGACTTGAAGTACTTAGTTTAGACTTAGTTTTGTTTAGTCCAAACTAGCTTAATGGACTCCTCATATTTTTTAAATTGTGTAGTTCTTTAACTAATAATGTATAACAATGAATTAGTTACTTTGTGAAAGTCTATAAAATATTTAGGTATTTCTCAATATCTCAATAAAGACATGCTATTGTAGCATGATTGTGAATTAAAAAAAAATAGCACATTTAGGTTTTTAGTTACACAAAGTAATAAAGAATCAATAGATAACCAATAACAATAGAAAGGTTTATAGAAAGAAGATATAAAATATGAAACAGAAGATAACAAGATCACTTTCTTATTTTAGCAAACTTAAAAAGGTGAATGATATAATTTCTAGACTAGAAGAGAAAACAAGTTCTAGTTAACAAATAAGAAAGGATAGAGGGGTACAAATCACTCTTAGAAGTATCAATTTTTCAGGATAACAATAAGAAAACCAGATTTGATTCTTCTGCAATATTACTCTAAACAAGTGCAAGGGGCAACAAATAGAACAAGAGAAAATGAATTAGTAGCAAAATAATTATGATATAAATGCATTTCTTTAAATAAGTAAGTTTCTCAAGAAAATAAAAGATAAAAGTACAACAAAAAAGAAAGAAGAAAATAATATTTATAAAAAAGTAATAAGAATTGAAATACACAATATTAGGAGTATCTCAAATATAATAATTCAACATAGTCTTATAGAAGAAATGCAAGAGCAGGAAATAGGTATGCTAAAATTAATTGAGACCCAATTGATCAAAACCAAGACAAAATGAACATTTAGTAATTAGATATCATATAAACACTTTCATAATATCAATGCAAACATTATATATGAAATAGGAATTGGTCTACTGATCAGAAAAAAAAGTAGCTTCAGTATAAGAAATGGAAGAATACATGATAGCAGTCAACTTATTGATAAAAAGAAACAAAATCTGTATCATGCAAGTATGCATCCCATTAAACAAACAAAAAAAAATCTTATTAGAAATAAATAAGGGCAAGGCTTTCATGTGATATTAATAGGAGATTCGAATGCAGTATACAATCCAGTGGAAAGAAGGCATGTTTTGTAAAAAAAAAAATAAATTTTAAGATGATAAAGTTTGAAAGTAAAAGAAATAATAGTTTCGCTCAAAATTCGTGAAAAGATATGATATACGATCACGTGACACGACAATACATATTGCGTATATGCAAACTTGTTATACGCATGTACGATATAATTAGCCTATTGTGATTACACAAAAATAAACTAGTGTGATACTGCTCTCGTAAGAACCCTAAGAGTTCTAACCTTCTAACTTCATTCCACACAATCTTTGCCATCTATGTTCTAAAAAAAATTAGACGCATTATTGTTAGAATGCATTACCATTAATACTGCAAAACTCATTATTTTTTCCTTAATATCAGAACCTTTTTTATTCTTAATTTTATTATGATTTTCAGCTTTTCACAAATTAATCTGTCCACTGGCCAAAACCTCATTACTACTCCTGCGCTTATTAGAGTAATTTGTTATAATTTAATAAACTTTAGTAGATTGCTTACATGAGAATGAAATCGCATGAACAGGGATCGTGTAACTTTGTCGTGTATTCAAAAGTAGAAAATAATCTTTAAAAAGATGCCAAAAATTTAAAGTGATATGTAATTCTATAAAAAAGAACGTCATAGTTCGAGAATATAGAAAACTAATTACGTAAGACCAATAAATGATTTTTTACTGACAACATTAGTCAAATATTTCCTAAAGAAAATCACAATCTTAAAGGGTTATTAAAAATACCTTCTTGTATTAATTGTCTACGTAGGATAGAAGTTTATCCCTTGTATGGTTGCTTATTATGAAAACGGAGAACGGCTGTCATGATTGAGTCATAACTAAGCCGTCAACAAAATCGACTTAACCATTCATTCTACTCGTCCTCGCCATCTATTCGAAAGATATTGTATATACTGTAAATGTATTATATGTACCAATTATAACAAGAATTATAAAATATACATTAAATACCGCTATTATCTGAATCTAATCGATCAGATTGAATTGCTGCAAAAACAATAATAATGGTAAATGTTTATTTGATATAAGAATAAGGTTGAATTTTCTTCATACCAGAATTATTAAGTACAGTATCTCCTTTTGCTTGATTGTTTTCTTGATCTTGTTCCATAAGGACCAATGTAGGATTTTTGTCCATTTTATTATTGTTATATTGATAAAAAGATGAATCATGTGGATGGCTATTGCAACACTCTTGTTCTCTAAACACGGTGCCTGAAATTATTGTTTCTTCATTAAGTAGATCGCATACATAATTAGCGGTTGGTCTCTGTTTCGGATTTTTGACCCAACATTTCTGATAAATTTTTATATATTCGCAAGGAGTATATAAAATCGGATTCTCTCTTTTACCATGCAATATAGCAATTACGGTATCAGAGTAATTCAAATTTCTAAAAGGTGGAACTCCACTTGATATTTCCCATAATATCACACCTAAACTGTAGACGTCGGACTCTTCCGTAAAATTAGTGTAATGTTGTTCATCTAATACTATTGGATCCACGAATGATAAAGACCCTCTGACCGACAAAAGTTCTAAACTTTCGCAGGATAAGTCTTTTGACACTCCGAAATCGATTATTTTTGCTTTAAGCTTTTTATTAGATGCTAATAAAACTATATTTTTCGTGTGCTAGTTTTAAAATAAATTTGTTAAATTATTTAAATATACTATATAAAATACTATTAAAAGAATAAAATTCACTCACAAGATTTCTATGTAAAATGCGATTAACATGCAAAAACTTTAACCCAGATGAGACCTGTCGACCGATGTTAATTCTTTCTTTCCAATCAATTTTAGGATTTTTTGTTAAATAATTACGTAGATCACCCAGGTTCCCGTATTCGAGGACCATTATATAAAATCCATCAGGTGCTTAATATTAAAAACTAATAATTTAACTCTCCTAAAATATAACCAAATATTAATTTAAAGTAAGGAACACCTACATTGACTAAAGCAAAAAAAAAAAAAAAATACGCGTATAAGTACAATTGTATTTTAAATGTTTTGATCGTCATAAAAAAGATGTTAAAACGTGCCTCGATCCGTAAAATTCTATAATATTTTCGTGAACTTTTTTGAAATTTATAGAGTGATATATATCTAACTGTAAATTCGTAAGTTGGTTAAATCTATTATATTTTAAATAAATATAAATATAATACCTCTCTAATAATCTCCATAAGTTTGGCCTTGCTTTGTGTTTTTTCAATGATTTTTAAGATAACGGACGTTTCTTTGCCATTATTATTCAATACTGCTCTTTGCGCCTTATACGCACTTTCATTCTCCACGGAATTTAATAAAAGGATTCGATTATAGTCGATATATTTTAAATGCACCTTCTTTTTTAATAATTTTTTAATTAATCGCTTGTTAGTCATATTATCTAAAGTATATGTAGCAAAATATATATATAAGATTAATCAGTTTGTGTATAATAATACATACTGTATATGTCGAGGGACATTAAGAAAGATCAATAATTTTAACATTAAAACTCACCCAACTAATGCAAATATCATCACGGTTGTGGTGTTGAAATTGTTATAAAATGGTTTTTTTTATCGAACTGTCTTTTTATATATGTTTTGTTAAGAAACAACCCGACCCGACAAAAATCTCAGGTTATTTTATTTTAATAACAGTACAACTCACCTATTTTGTGTGTGTTTATGTATTTATCTGTAAAGTATTTGTTACGGTACGACAACCGTAAATTAAATTCGAGACCCATTTATACATAGCAGCTAGCAGTGTGTTTATTCAAAAATTGCTTTTACCTAACATCCATTTATCTCTTACAAGCCGACGAAAAATAAAGTAACTTATAATTGAGTTTTAAAAGGTAAAATTAAAATAAAAATTATCATGACACATTTTGCACTTTACACAAAAAACCATAATAATGCGTTAATTAATTAAATTATTGCTTAAATGAAGATTAATTATTTTACTATATCTTCTATATTACTATAATACTACTAAAACTAGTTATTTTTTCGCATAAAACTTTTTTTTATTATTGATAAAAGAAATATTGTTTGAAATCTATACTAATTCAACAAAGATTATTACTAAAGAAAAAAAAATAACAATATATAAAATAGTATTTTTTATATTGCTTTTAATAAAAATATAAAAATATAAAAACTATTATATAAATATAAAACTATAAAACTACTGTATATTAAAATATAAATATAAAACTATATTAGTTTTTTTTTTTTTTTTTTGTAATTCACAATCATGCCATAATAACTTGTTTTTATTGAGAAATTAAAATAAAAATCTACAATAGTTTACAGACTTTCACAAAGTGACTAATTTGTCTTTATATATAAATACTCTAAGTCAAATTTTAAGAACAATATTATATTTCTCTAATAGATTGATAATGATCTCTATTTACCAAGATCATTGTCAACAATTTGTCACTGTTGATTAATCTAAAAATCAATGAATTGCTAAGTTAAAAAAGGAAAAAAATTGATTGGAAGAAAGAAATTATTCAAGATCTATTATAAAAATCTAAATATAAGAACAATCTCTTCTCCAAAGTATTTTCCTAATTAAAATAGTTTTTTTGTTTTATTTGAATCTTGGAATAAATCTTCTTTTTTATTATCTGCAATATCAAACAAGTTAATTCAACTGATCTTTTTATTTCAGATTATGATATTTCAAAAAAAATTTTGAATTTTAACTTTTTTCTATTAAAGTTTTATTACTACCTAAAAAACTTAAGTAAGAGTCGAGAGTTTGCAATCCACATTACCTATTACTTAATTTTTTTATATTATAGAAGTCTTTATTAAGAAATTTGAGTTTTAAGAATAATTATTTTTAAACATTCTTTTTAATTACCAATGATATTATCGAAATATATAAATAGAATCAATAGAAGCTTGTTTGTATTCTAAAAATTAATATGTTTCATGTTAATTATAGTAGCTTTCAAAAGTTTGAGTCCACTTATTATATTTTTATTATAAATTTTAACTTTGACAAATTTTAAATCATTAACTATGCAGTCAAAAATTATAAAATCTATATATATTATGTCTTAATGCTTATTTTATTTCTTATATTTTTTAAAAATTTTTTATTAATACATTTTAAAGTTTTGTAATTACTAAATATTTTTATTTTTTTACTAATTATCATATGATTTATGATAACAGCCAATCAAAATCCTTCAAAGGTAAAAATTTGATAAAGAAAAAAATTTTTTAACAATAATAAAACTTTAAAAATTATATATATAATTTTTTTGAAAAAAATATAATAAATAAAACTAGTATTAAAATATAATATATATGAATTTTATAATTTTTGATAGTATAATTAAGGTATTTAACACTTTTTCAAAAACAAAATTTCCTTATAAGGAAATTTTCACAAAAGTAAACAACGAAGTGAAGTTTTTACATATAAATCAATATTATGACAAACATTTCTGTAGAAATTAGTCTCCCCTATGACACTATTTTCAAATATTCGGGATCAACTGAACAGTTATCTCAAGTCAAGGAGTTTTTTACAAAATGGATAGGAAGGACCTCCTCTGTTTGCTTTAGTAACTCTAATCGAACTGCCACCCCCACCCAACAAGTAAACACTGGCTCTTCTAAAAAGAAGAGAAAATGAAGACCATGTAAAAATCAGCTTCAAGAGGGAAAAAAGCCAGGTTTACCTGCTCATAAATAATCGAATGTCAAACAACCTCCGCCTCCAAAGGCATGCAAGTATACAATCTGTGGAGAAAACTTCAACAGTCACTCAGCAAGAAAGAGACACTTCAATAGTATGCATAAACTGATAGCTATAGAAGTTGAGATGTCAAAAACTTTAAAAAAGAAGTGAAAGGTCACCCATCTTACTGCTGCGGACAACACAACAATGTTCATCAATGCCGATATTGATAATCTCAATATAGATACAGTCATTGGTACCATCAGATCATTAGGACAAGATAAGTCAAGTAACTACCTGCTCTATTCGAATTATAGATCGATGCCAGGTAGCTCTTTTTTAGTAACGAGCTACAATTCTGTTAACAACTCTTTTGGTTTAGTTGTAAGGGGCTATGCTACGCATGGAACCTTATCTATCAGTCAAATAAATGATCTTCTTAAAGATTGGGCAAATGAGGAAATTCTTGATAACAAATTGTATTCCAGACACAAGAGTATCTTAAAAGATATTCTTATCTAAACAAATCTAACACAAAAAAGTAAATCGCATACCAGTCATATGTCTATCAACATATACTTGTTGGGGTTTTGCAAGTCTAGTGATTGAAAGACCTTGGTGAGAGAAGAAATTTGTTGGCACCACACCGAAGTGTCAAAAATCTTTGATATAGGTTAGAGTATACAACAGTCTGATAACCAAATTACTTTTTGAGAAAAATGAAAATAGTATCACATGTTCTTCCTTATTGGTTGTTATATATAGTAATCATGTGATTAGATAATTTTTATTATTCTAAAAATAGTTTAGCCATAGTTATATAATTAGTTTATGTAACAATACTGCAATATGTAACATATTACTTGTATTGATGTCAAGTTTGGGTGTGCTTGACATCATATAATATATTTAATAAAGAATATGGCCCAGTAATTAAAACATCCAAAACAAATGCAGGAATGTCAGAAAAGCCACAATTCAGGATTCAGCTCTCATCTAGTAGCACTCAATGCTGGCTCAACGAATTCAACCAAACCATGGAAGCAGTTGAGGTAGATGCAACTTCAATCTTCATAAAAAACTTATTACAGCTAATAGACATTCCAGCTCCCACAATACAACAACTTATAAACATTAACAAAAACATCAACACTAATGAGATGATCAAGATAATGATATATAGAGCCTTCAATTACAATAACCATAATGCCTTAGGAGTAGGCATCATTTTTTTGACCAGCATGACACAACAGAACAATTTCAAACTCAGAATCATAGGGCAGTGCTCAGCTTTCAGAGCAGAGATCTTAGTTGCAATTATCGCAATCAGCATCCTACCATTTAGACAAAAAGCAACCATACAAACAGACTCAGCTCAACTTATCACAGAGCTCGAAAAAGCATCGCTTGGACAAATCAAAAACATATCAGAA